TGGTATATTTCCCCGAGCTCTTCGGCGAAGCGCACGGCCTTCCCTGCCGACGCGTCTAGGGTTGCGGCAAGGAGGTGATACGAATAACCTTGGAGAGGGGAGGAGGAGGAGGAGGAGGAGGAGGAGGAGGAGGAGGAGGAGGAGGAGGAGGAGGAGGAGGAGAGGAGGAGGAGGAGGAGGAGGAGGAGGAGGAGGAGGAGAGGGGAGGAGAGGGGAGGCATCGAGGCGGCGAAAAGGGAGGGGGAGACGGGGGAGATGGTAAAGGGGAAGCCAGGCTTCTGTGTGCCACTCTGTTCGAAGCTCCGGACGCTGGGTTCCTGGGACCTCCAGAGCTTTGCTGTTTTGCCCCCCTGCTGCTTTCCTTTTCTTTCCCTAGCCACGGGGCGACCTTTCTCGCGCTTGCCGCTCTCGGCTGGGTCTTCTTGGCTGCGGATTGTCGACCTGGCCATTCGACCGGCGTGGGCGGACATGCTCTGCCGTCGGGCATGCGCGCGGCGCGGGGTGCTCAGTCGCCAGCACTATGGTCTGAAGGGTGTGGCGGGCGCAGTGAACCACAGCCTGTAATTTGTTTGGCCGCTCTCCTGCTCCTCCTCCTCCTCCTCCTCCTCCTCCTCCTCCTCCTCCTCCTCCTTCTCCTTCCTCCTCCCTCCTCCCTCCTTCCTCCTCTCTCCTCCCTCCTCCCTCCGCCCGCCTCCCTCCTCCCTCCTCCCTCCTCCCTCCTCCTCCCTCCTCCTCCTCGTCCTCCTCCTCCTTCTCCTCCGCATCGACTTGTCGGTCTCGCCTTCAGTTCTGCGCAGACTTTGTCGGAATCGGCTCTCCCGCGCGGGCGCGGCGCATGGCCCGCTCGCCGAAGCGCACTTAGGAGCGGCAGCGGCAGCGCGGGCCGCGCGGGAGCGGGCATAATGCCGTCCTCGCCCAAGCGCCGCGCAGCTTGCGCGAGAAAGCGCCCTTGGCTCTGACCAGAAAATTGCGGCATAAACATAGATGGTTTGACGCTCGGCGACAAAAGTTCATGTTTATGTAGTTGTGTTTCTTCTTCGGACGTTGTTTTGGTTTCTCCGGCGAGGGCCATCGAGGACCACACTGGATCACCATACGAAAGAAGGGAAGCGCACGACAGCGACGAATCCTCGGGGAGAGTGGGGGCCCGAGCGAGCGCGAATGGCAGGGCTGCTTCGGCGCGGCAGATGAGGCGTTCCCAAAAAGTCCTCTTGCCTTCGAGGATCGAAGGGGTTGTCGTCTCTTCCGCGGCGGAAGGTCGGCGGAAGTAAAACGAAGCCGCCTCCGCCGGCGGAAGCCGGCGGAAGGCCGGCGGAACGCGGCGGAAGTCAAACATGCGGACATGCGCCCCGAATAGATGAAAACATTCTGAGATTCAGGGTTCCCGAAGTCGGCCAGGTGCTTCGAACCCGCGGCGCTCGTCAGCAAGCGGGCCGCCCCGGCGAGGAGGAGGAGGAAGAGGAGGAGGAGGAGGAGGAGGAGGAGGAGCCAGATGCTTCGATCCCGCGGCGCTCGTCAGCAAGCGGGCCGCCCCGGCGAGGAGGAGGAGGAGGAGGAGGAGGAGGAGGAGGAGGAGGAGGAGGGAGGAGGCGGAGGAGGAGGAGGAGGAGGAGGAGAAGGAGGAGGAGAGGAGGAGGAGGGAGGAGGAGGAGGAGGAGGAGGAGGAGGAGGAGGAGGAGGAGGAGGAGGAGGAGGGAGGAGGAGGCGGAGGAGGAGGAGGAGGAGAGGAGGAGGAGGAGGAGGAGGCGGAGGAGGAGGAGGAGGAGGCGGAGGAGGAGGAGGGGAGGAGGAGGAGGAAGGAGGAGGAGGAGGAGGAGGGGAGGAGGAGGAGGAGGAGGAGGAGGAGGAGGAGGAGGAGGAGGAGGAGGAGGAGGAGGCGGAGGAGGAGGAGGAGGCAGATGCTACGAAGCCGCGGCGCTCGTCAGCAAAGCGGGCCGCCCCGGCGAGGGCCAGGCGGCCCTCTCGCGCCGGGGCGCTGCGCAGGGGACGCGCGGGCAGTGCCCGCGGAGGCGCCACGCGTGCGCGGCCGCGACGAGAGCGGCCGCGACGAGAGCGCCCAGGAGGGGAAAAACCACACAGACACAAAATGATGGGGAAATCTGGGAATGGGGGGGAAGACAAAAGCCCAGAACATGTGGGAACATATGGGGGATCCTGTTATTTGTGTGTGTGTTTATTTGTGTGTCCCAGGGCCCCTTCATTCCCCCTCGCAGAGCTGCCGGCCGCGGGAGCCGGCACGGGCTGCCCGAGTCCACCTCGTGCCACCATGGACTGCTATGCTGCCCAGACCTCCGAGGGTGGGATCTATTCCGACCCCGCGGTGTTTCGTCGATGTCGGCCTCCAGGGCCCGTCATCGGGCCCAGGTGCCGTCAACAGTGGACCCGGGACGGAAAGCCACCTCCGGGGAAGGAGTCGGGACTGGTGGGGCCGTGGATTGAAGAACTCATATCCGCGGATATCTGGTTACAGGCCACGAGAGGGGAGCCAGCTGACCCGTTCGACCTGGCCCGTTTGTCTTCCCGACGTGTTTCTCCTCTTCCTCCTCCTCCCCCTCCTCCTCATCCTTCGTCTTCTTCTTCTTCTTCTTCTTATGATTCTTCCTCCTCCTTATCCCTCCCCACCCCGGTCGCTCGAGCATGCGGACAGCGAGCCCGTTGCGCCCGGTCTTAATTACTCTGCGGGTGCAGCGCCGCGTCGTCGGGGGGGGACCTCCTTGAGATCCTCGACCCGAAATCCTCGACCCTCGAGCCTCGACCCTAAATCCTCGACCCTAAATCCTCGATCCTCGACCCTAAATCCTCGACCCTCGACCCTAAATCCTCGACCCTTGAGATCCTCGACCCTAAATCCTCGACCTCCTTGAGATCCTCGACCCTCGAGCCAGACACCACGAGGCCGACCCCCCTGGCGTCGAGCACCAACCGGGCTCCCTCGCTGGACCCCGGAGGCTGCGGGAGCGGCCATCCCCGCTTATTTCCCCACCCCCCCCCCCCCCTCCTCTCCTCCTCCTCCTCCTCTCCCCTCTTTCTCCTCCTCTCTCTCCTCCTCCTCCTCCTCCTCCTCCTCTCTCCTCCTTCTCTTCCTCCCCCCTCCACCACCTCCTCCTCCTCCTCCTCTTCCTCCTCCTCCTCCTCCTCGTCCTCCTCCTCCTCCTCCCTCATCCACCTTCTGGAAACCTCCCTTCCAAAGGATAGTGGAGGAGGTCCACTACCGCAACGACAGGTTCCAGGGCCCGCCGAAGCGCTTCCTGGACTGCACGAACGAGATGTGCAGCGGGTGGAGGGCTTACTGCGTAATGAATAAATCGGGTGTGCGGGTTCCGGGCTTACGGCGTCACCAATCGATCTATCGATCATCGTCGTGAAGGAGATCGGGAGGATGGCGGGGGCGTCGAGGAGGATCCAGATAGGAGCAGTAGGAGGCGGGAGGCGGCCTCCTCCTGATCCTCCTCCTCCTCATCCTCCTCATCCTCCTCCTCTCCCTTCTCCTCCTCCTCCTCCTCCTCCCCCCTCCTCCTCCTCCTCCTCCTCCTCCTCCTCCTCCTCCTCCTCCTCCTCCTCCCCCTCCTCCTCTTAGTTATTCTTCAGTCGTGCATACTCTTTCTCTACCACGTGGCCGGCCAATAGCGACTGGATCCGGAACTTCCACAGTTATTTCTTTCCGGTCGAATGCCGAGCTTCTTGTTCTCAACACATGGACGTTCTGTTGTCCACGTCGCAATCTGTGTGGCACGGATGGAACGGGGCGCTCATCCAGCGCGACAGGGCGAACTGCCTCTCGCGCCGTGCTCCTGTTTCCAGAAGGTCGAGCTCCGCGTGGGGCGCGGCGCACACCATTCGCACGCCAGATCGTAGACGCGCGGGCTGACGAAAACGTCGCTCTCGCGCCGGCGCCCGGCCGAGCTCGCTTGAAGGTGGCGCTCCGGCCTCGCTGCGGCGCGTGCTGCGAGCTCGCTAGGTCTGGGGTTCCCGCTCGAGCGGGCGCCTTGTCGCCCTCACCCGGGCACCGTGCAGTTTCGCTTGGAGGTGGCGTTCCCGCGCGGCCTCGGCTCCTCCCTCCTCCCTCCTCCCTCCTCTTCCTCCTCCTCCTGCTCCTCCTGCTGCTGCTCCTCCTCCTCCGCCTTTTATCTCACGTCGTCAGCCACGACTTCGTGCACGGGCCGTACGTCCAGGCCGCCGCGGCCGCTTCCTGCTCGGGGTTGAGGGGCCTCTGAGCGTCAGGGAGATTCTCGCCCCCTCCTACGCTGCGCTCCTCCGCCTCGTATGCTTCACACTTCGCATCGTCTTCTGGCGGCAGCGGCAGCGGGGTCGCCTGGAGAGCGGGCGACATGCCGGCCTCTCGCGCGGGCGCCGCGCGGTTCTCGAGTGATGGAACGACGCGGCGGTGCTGCTTCGGCACTGCGCACGCTTCGTGTCTAGAAGGGGGAGGAGGAGGAGGAGGAGGAGGAGGAGGAGGAGGAGGAGGAGGAGGAGGAGGAGGAGGAGAGGAGCAGGAGGAGGAGGAGGAGGAGGAGGAGGAGGAGGAGGAGGAGGAGGAGGAGGGCGAGGAGGAGGAGGAGGAGGAGGAGGAGGAGGATCAGGAGGGGGAGGACGAGGAGGAGGAGGAGGAGGAGAGGAGAGGAAGAGGAGGAGGAGGAGGAGGAGGAGGAGGGCGAGGAGGAGGTGGAGGACCTCAGGAGGAGGAGGAGGAGGAGGGAGGAGGGAGGAGGAGGGAACCCTGGTCTAGACCTCCCCAGGACCAGCGTTTTTCGTTTCCGCCGCGTCCAGTGGAAGTGCCGCCCCCCGCCCGTGCTCGGCCCGCGCAGCTCTCCTGCCGCCGAGGCGTCGGAAGCGGAACCGCGCGCGAGCGCCTTCCGCGCGCTGGTTCTCACGGTCAGGTTGGGCCCCAAGTGATTCGTGTGCTGGTTGAGAGATGGAGGGAACGGGTGGGGCCCACTGCCTCGTTTGACGTGGTTAGCTTGATCCCCCTCCTCCTCCTCCTGTTCCTTCCTCCCGCCCCGATCCTTCTCGGCACTCCTCGACCCTCCTCCTATTCGATCCTCTTCGACCCTCCTCGATCCTCCTACTTCCACCCTCCTCGACGCTCTTCTGCTTCACCCCCTCCTCCACCTCCACCTGCACCTCCTCCGCCGCTCGTGGTCGTTCGTCGTTCGTCGTTCGTCCGACTCGGCCACTTCCGCCCCCTCCCGCCTCGGTCGGCCCTCTCCTCCCTGCGGCCGCTCGCGCAACCGCCGCACACAGACGTTCTCGCGAGACGCACGCGATGGTCTTGAGCTGTGCGCTCAGCCACTCCTTGTCGGAGCGTCAGGGTCCTACCCCCCTGGCCCTGAGCGCCTGGTCGCTCACAAAAGGGGCGCGAGAGGAACCGCGCGGCGCGCCTCTCGGTTTGCAGTGGAGAGCTGCCCTCCTCCAGGGGGCTGGTGCGAGGGCGCGAAGGCCACCGCGCGTCGCGCACCGCAGTGCGCGACGCGCGAGCCCAGGCGACCTGGGAAGGGAGCGGTTTCATTTCTTCGACCGGGCATCAGACGACACCACCTCCCTCCTCCCTCCTTCCTTCTGCCTCCTCCCTCCTCCCTCCACCCGGCCGGGGGTGCCCAAGCCAGCATGACGTCCCAGCTTGCATGTGTGCAGCGAAGAGCTCCAGCACAGCATGGTCTAGCGCACTGCCCACCCACAGCTGTTCCATCTGACGCTCAGCAACTGCCGTCGTACCCCAAAATTGGTCATGCGTACGCAGTGGCGGGGGGCCTTAGCCTTCTGCCCATCGAGAGGCAAACCAGGTCTCACACGGCGGCCCGCCACCCGACACCACCACCCGTCGTGCAAGGATATGAGACCTCCAATTTGCAAGTGTGTCCCGATTCATGAGATCCCCGTCCACTGCATGTATGGCTATATCCACAGACAGGGCATATATCGCATAGTCTGAGCTGCAGTGCTCCCATTCAACCTGTGCCTGTACATCCCCCGCCCTCCTCAACAAATTCGGGACAAAGTATTCAAGTCGCCTGACGGCTCTCGGCATGGGTTCGGCTGCAATGCCCGTGTATCGTTCTGTCAGGAATAGACGACTGGGGTATCTCTCAGTGATGTACTGAACAGGGTTGGCTGGCGGCGGCGGCACAGCAGCTGCATTCACAGGAACTTGTAGGGAGGCAGCAAACCCAGCTGGGAGAGCGGGGTCGGCGGCCGTAATCTCCAAGCGTGCAGTGCCATGGTCCATCGTAGCCATCATTGAATACGCATGCTTTGTGATGGGGCCTGCCGCACGAACTGTCGGCACAACAGCACGACGGCGAGACAGCGGCACACCAGGGATCCTGCCTGTCATGGGGCTGAGAAATCGGGATGTGTAATATGATAACACGGCGCAGCTCCTGAGTTCGCGACACCTGGTGCAGCAGCTGCCGTGGTAGGATCACTCATCAGTATAAATAACCACTGTGGGGGATCATGTGCTAGGTGGTCAACTAGGTGTGCCCGAGCATGAAATACAGACAAGCATGCATGACATTGTCCGTCTGGTGACGCCCACGCACGTGCCAGAGCTGCGTTCTGCCGGTGGGTACGCGCCACATGCACACGTAATGTTCCATGCTTTCGGAAAGCACGCGCGCACCATGGACACTTGACACTATCATCGTCTGTGTCGTCTCCTGCACATGTAGGTGGGTCTACAAGAAGTCCGTCAGTATCCGTCCACGCACGTTCTGGCACTCCCATGGGGCGGACTTCCTGAAAACAATTGCCTCCACTGCGGCCGCCTCAACATTTCGAGCATGAGATTGGGCTGCAGCGTGTAACGACATCTTGATATTTCGTTTCCAAGCTGTTTGGTTTCGTCGGATGAGGGACTCCCATTCACTGAAATCCTCAAGCGGTGGCGGGAGGGAAGCACAAGCTACAGCAGCAGCACGTAACCACGAGCAATCATCCATGACCACTCCCATCCATGACATGGCGCGGCAACCGTTCTGAGTAGTGTCGTACCACTCGGCCCGTAGTAAGGCAAATCCAAGTTTGGGTCTTGTGTGCAATAGTGAACCCAACAGTCGCAAACGCGCAGTTCTTCTTAGATCGTCGGGCGGGGGTCTTCTAAGTCTGGCCAGCACTTGAGCACGATTCGGCTTCCACAAAGCTAACCTTCGCCGCAGCTCGGTAGACTTTCATGACTTCAGCGTCGGCCATTATGGCCTCCGCCGTTGTTTGCATAGTCCAGGCGCCCGAGTTGTAGAGACGCCCCGATAACACCAGACTGTCGGCGAACATCATACATGTCGGATCAGCAAGAGCCTTGGTGGAGCAAACTCTAATGCGCAACGCCCGTCAAGTAGCTGTGGTACTGCTGGCTCGATATCGGACCTCGGGCCCCGCGTTACCTTGGGAATCGATAGCTGACCCAAGATGTACATAGTGCTTGACAATCGGTGCCCGTACAGTCCCAAGTAGCTGTGTCTGCGCAACCACATGCCCACCACACTCGTACCATGCGTGCTGCTTCGCCTTCTTCGCTCCTTTCTCCTCGGTATGCCAAAAGGGCGGCCGTTTTTGTAACGCCGAGATTGAGTAGGTGGCCTCTGCTAGCAAACACATCGGCAACCACGGTAAGCGCACGGCACATGGCAGGATACAGGTCGGAAGCAGGGACAATCACAATGATGGCGCCGTCATCCGCAAAGGTAACGTCCAACAGGGGCACGGTGGTAGCGGTGTCGGTATCCGTTACGATACTCTGCACGTTATGGCGCTCGTCTGTAGGCAAATGCAGGGCTAGCCCTTCAGCGTCAAACTGAGCTCGTACAGCGTGCATGCATTCACCCATAAGCTTCTCGTACAATCTAGTAGCGAGATATTCACCAAACCTTGGCGCCCGTGCTGCTTGATACCGCGTGCTTCTGCCAGCAGCTAGTGAGTGCCGCACCAAGCTGACCGTCCCCTCGGCGAATCAGAGCGCAATCCAAAACTCCTCCTCCCTCCTCCCTCCTCCTCTCTCCTTCCTCCATCATCCTTCCTCCTCTTCCTCCTCCTCGCCCCCTCTCGGGACGGTCCACATGGGCACGGAGATGATGGGCACGAGGCCCAACAGTAGCTGCTGCTCATTTTGAATGTTGACCTGGACTCGCTGTCCGCGCCGCCGCGGGCTCTGTCCATTGAAGACAACAACTGGCGCGTACAGCCTCGGCGCGCGATCGTGGAGACCGCGCGGCGACGTTGGGCAACCGCCGCGCAACGCACCCGTCGATTGCCGTGCATACGCGCAGACTTTTTGGCGTCGCGGCCCCGCGCGCAGCGACAGGGCGTAGCAAGGCCACAGAGAAAGACGCGCGCGCGCATCAAAAGGTCGAGCCCTCAACGCGCACTCTCACACAGACACACACACACCGACCCCCCCCCCCCCACACACACACACACACACTCCGACATACACCGACACACACCGACACACCCACACACATACACACCGACACACACGCACACACACACAGACACACCGTTCGCAGCAGCAGCGACGTGGGGCCCGCTTGCAGCGACGACGGGGCGCGCCTGGGCAACGTGACGAGGCCGTCTCGCGGCACTCGTGGCCCTTTAGGGGCGCTTATGAGGAATCCCGTGGATGTTTCGAATCATTTTCGACGAGGTCACCGCCATGGAGGCCCACGCGGAACACCCCAGTAGCGCCTGGCCCCGCCCGAAAGCGCCCGGGAAACTGGGTATCTGGGCCTTGAAGAATTTAGAATATTGGTTGCAGCAGCGCAGCTTTGATCCTTGGGGCACTCCACTTCGTGGTATGCTTATATATATGTATCTATACATACATATATACATACATACATACATACATACATACATACATACATACATACATACATACGTACATACATACATACATACATACATACATGCATGCACATAAACAAACTCTCATATTTTCATACATGTATCATGTAGGTTACATATGTATGTGTATATATATAGACACACTATAACTTTAACTTTGGCTCCAGGCCCGCGGTGGGGCAGGCCCCAGAGGCCTCGAATACGCCCCAGAGGGGGCTTATGATAAAGCGCCCCGTGACGCCAGCAACTGCGAGCCGGCCACCAGCTGACTTGGGGGTTCCATCGTGCCGTGGGCTCTCTCAGCGGGCTGGGCCGGGCCGCTCAGCGCGCCGGCAACTCGGGGCCCGGCTCCGCGCGCAGCGCATCTGCTGGCGCTCTGCGCGCGCTCCTGGCTGAGGAAAACCGAAAGGTGGCGCCCCTCGCCGCGGACGACGCGCCGGTCTGCGGCTGCTCGCTTGGGGCCGCGCTGCGCTGACGGGTGCTGCTATCAGGGCAACGTTTCGGGGGGGATAGGCTCGTGGATCGAAGTTCTCAAGCACTGGCGATCGAAGCGTTGCGGAGTGCCCACAGGCCCACCAAAGAATGCCCCAAGAGCCTTCCGTGCTTTGCACGACATGTTCTTGGAACATTTCCGGCCGAGACTGCCTTGTTTTAGTACATCGGGATTCTGTGTCAAGAGAACATCGCTCTTGTCCTTACAATTTTTGGGGGTTCCAGGAACACTTCGTGGTAGCGCTAGAGGAATGCCGCGACGGTCGGTCCCTGCTCAAGGTCCAGCGCTCGCGCTTTCCGGGCGATTTCGTCGGGTCTGCGCGCGCGCCTCAGGCCGATGTGTTGTCGATGCGGCGCGATCCTTCGACCCCATCTTCTCGAGCCCCATCTGGGAGGCCTCTAGCAACGTTTACAGTCGGGGCCCTGGAGAAGGAACCCTTTTGGTTGGGGAGGGGCCCCGCATGCCTTAAGTGCTTCACAGCTTGCCTCAGGTTTCCCTGTCGTTTCCGACAGGAAATCGAAGTCTAAGCTCATGGAAAAAAAGGGGCCTCGTTCCTTATTTTTAGGGCTCCTTAGGTCACCGCCCCGACTGTGAGGGGGGATAGGCCCGTGCCTCGTGAACCGCGCGCCCGCGGTTGTCGGGCGGCTTCGTCGGCTCTGCGCGCGCGCCTCCGGCCGGGGGAGGCCGGAAGTCGGCGCCCGTCGCCGCGGACGGCGCCCCGGCGGGGTGCTGCTCGCGGGGGGCCGCGCGATGCTCAGGAGGGGGAAAAGAAAAACGCACAGACACAATGAATCCTCGATTCCCCAGAAGATCTCGGAAAGCATGGGAGGTGGGGGGGAGGACGAAGGCCCTAGAAAGAGGGGAGAATAGGGCGAATAATCATGTCATGTGTGTGTATTTGTTTGTGTGTCCTGGGGCCCCTTTTAGATGCATACGCCGATTGCAGGTCGATGCGTCCTCCCGCGAGCCCGTCCCCCCCTCTATGCAAGCACTGGCGAGGCGCCCTGGCTCGCCTCCAGCCCTACCAAGCCATGTTCTAAGCACCTCGCTGTGGTGCCCACGACGTGTGCTTAGGACATCTCTGGCGGAGGCTGTCTTGTTTTATCGCATCGGGCTTCTGTTCTAAGAGCAGCGCTCTTGTTCTTAGAACATGCTTGGGGTCTAAGAACAGTTCGTGGTGGGATTGTAGGAATGCCGAGACGGTCGGCCCCTGCTCAATTGATCGCTGCCCCTCATCAGGCCCGACTCTTCTCTCGGAGAAGAATACACGCCGTAAACCTGAACTCTTGGCGCCTCCGGCGGCGCCCCTGGCGCGCTCCGCGCGCCAGGGAGGGGGGCCCGGCGCGGATCCAAGAGATCCGCGCGGACGTCTAAAGATTTCTGTTATTGTTGCTGTTCCTCTAGGCTCACGCGATGTATTTAACCGATTTTTGACCGACCAAAATTATGCACAACTTCCGTCGAGATGTTTCGAGCCAGCTAGCCCGCCAGTGCGCTCGAAGTACTCTTGAGCTTCGCCGCTTCGCTCTTGGGGAAGCTTCGGGCCGGGCGAACGGGGGGGATTGGGAAAGGGGGGGGTACGAAATTTGCTGCGTGCAGCTGGTTTCGGCCTCACCGAGGGGCCCATTCCTCGATACATGGCCGCCTCCGGCGCCGGGAGGCGCCGGGAAAATCAGCTACGTGAGCTGATTCTCAAACCCCCCCTTTGCTATCCCCCCCTTCCGCCCGACCCGATAAGCTCTACGAGTCATTCTCACGCGATGTCGGGGCCACTGGGGCCCTCTGGGCCTCGCGAGGGGGTGCTCTGGAAGCCACCCGCGCCTCCCCGGGAGAGCCGGGGCCGCCCAGCTGTTTACGACTGCCCGTGGAGCGGCGCCGAGACAAGGGGGCGTCTTCGCCGACGTCTGCGCGTGGGCTTAAGTCGGGCGTGTCCCCCTACAGGGGGGATACCCAGAACTAGTCAAACAATAGTCTGGGGACTATGTTTTTTAAAACACCATGTCTGAGCACTGCTTGGGTATATGTTAGGGTATTTTCCATTTTTCGCCCAAAATCTGCCTGTAGGGGGACAGGCCCGACTTAAGCGTAAGCTGCCTGCGTAATGACGCGCGGAAACGCCCTCGTCTCCACTGTGGCCTGCCGCGCCGGCGGCCCGCGTAAGCCGCCGCGTAGGGTCGCTGTGCCATCTCGCGTTTGACCCTTTTTGATCGTCGCTCCATTGTCGGATTCCTCCCTGAATGGGGGGCAGGATTTGTCCAGATGGTATATGTCAGCATAATGTGAGGGTAGTGATGGATTCAGCTCATGGCACGATGGTTGCGTACGCAGTTCAGTTCAGCGCACGCGGGATTGTCGGAAATGTAGCAGCGCTTCCCAACCTCACCGGCCAATTGCCTCAGAGGCAACACAGTGGGCCGTCCTAGCAGCACACTGCGAACTTTGCACCAGCGTTCAGTCGAGGAAAAATGCAATTCGGACAGGCCCACTTCTAGCATGCGGGAACAGCATGCGACCACAACCACATCGAAACACACACCCTGGGGGATGTCCTGCGCATGCCAACAATTTGCAGAAAGCCGACACCAGCTTAGTAGTGGTTGTGGTCGACATGGCGTCCGAGGACGGCCCAATCGGCCACCACCACCGAAGGGTTCAGGTCGAGGTCGGTGAGTTCTGCCCCGAGGGGCCCTCAAGAATCTGCTGAGTAGTGCTTGCGATTCTTTTTCGATGCCCGGAACGCAGCACCCGACGCTTGCCCAGCCCCTAATCTGCGCGCCGCGCTGGCGCCTGGCGCGCCGGCGCCTGGCGCGCCGGCGCCTGGCGCTGAGTGCCGCTCGCACCGGCTGGGGCTGAGGCCAGCTAGTCGGGCGCGGGCCAGCGCGCCTCCTGTGCCCTTGCCCCTCCCCCTCTTCCCTCCCCCTCCCCGCACCGCGCGCTTGTCGTTCGTCTGTCGTCCGTTGTTTTCGTCGTGGTGTCGTGCCGTCCCCCTGCACTCTGCCACTGGGTTCCCACTCGCTGTTTTGTTATATAAAAGAGTGCGCGCCGCGCTGGCCTGTGCGCGTCGCGCACCGGCTGCGGCAGACCGCGGTTTTTGGGCGGCCCCGCCGCTCCGAGGTCCTACGACGTCGACAAGCCGGAGGCCAAGGCCACGGCGGGCTCGGTGGACGAGGACCCCAGGCGCTCAGCTGTTCTGAAAGGCGCTGGGGGCGTTTTTGTTGCTCCGTTGCCAAGTTTGTTCGTGTTGCGGTCGGCCAGATTATGTGCGTCGTCGTCGTCGTCGTCGTCGTCGTTGTTGTTGTTGTTGTTGTTGATGAGTTCTCATGTCAGAAGAATAATTGTTGTTGATCCCCCCACCGGTGCATACTGTTTTTCTCCATCAAATTGTGTCCCTCGACGCTCGCTCCCTGTTTCTTGACAGGGAAAATCTTCCTGCTCAAACTGGGCCCATGGCCCCCAGGTTACAACAACAACGGCTCCCGCCTGAGACTTCCTTACAATGTAGCCAGGACAGGACCCCCGCTCCCGCCCGAGACGTCCTCGCAGTTATTCAGGAAGCGCGCTCTCGCTTGGGACTTCTTTACAATTTATTCAGGAATCGCTCTCCTGGCGCTCTGGAGTCGCGCTCTCGCTGGAGACTTGCTTGCAACTTACTGAAGCCGGGCGTGGTCTTACAAGCCCGGCTGTTCGATGTTTTTTTGTCTTTTGTTTGCGTTGCCCCCGCTTCCGCTTCCAGATGCGTGGCCCCGCAGCTGCCTCAGGGCCGCGCCCAGCCCCTGCAAACCCCGCCCCACCAGAGCCAGCCCAGCCCCCACGAAGCTCCGGTTTCCCCCAGGGGGTGTGAGGTGCACGGGCAATCCGCAGCTCGCTGGAAACCCTACCCCCAAGCAGGCCCCAAAGGCACCATCAGGAATTGAACCCAAGAAAGTCAGATTGTGGGAAGAGGTGTTCCCCATTTTACTACAATTCGGGCACAGGTAAAGGAAGGAGGGCATATTCTTGCCCTATTCTATGGCACGTCCCCTATTCTAGTAGTGGTGGTGGTGGTCGTCGTCGTCGTTGTGGTGGTGGTGGTGGTGGCGGGGGTAGCGGTGTCGTGTGCGGTGGCAGTGCGGCGGCAGCGGTGAACGCAGCCGCGAGGGGGGGGGGGGGGGGGGGGGGGGGGGGGGTCTGTGTTGTGGTCGACGCAGTGTTGGTAGTGCCTTTGCATGGGCGGTGGCAGTGGCGACAACAGCGGCGGCGGCGAGCGCGGCCGCTGTGGGGGCTGAAAAGGTTTTGGCAGCCGCGGCGTTGGGTGCTTCAAGCAAGCAGCGGCCGGAGCGGTGGCGGCTGGGCAGCCAGTGGCAGTGGGAGTGAGCGCGGTGTGGGCGGCGGTGCCTTTGGTGGGGGCGGCAACAGCAGCGGCGGGGACAACGATAGTGGTGGGGCAAGACTGGGCGGGGGGCGGGGGGAGGCGGTGGCCGCGGTGATGGTATTGGCTGCGGCGTGCCTGGGGCAGGCGCGTTTGCTTGCTTGCTGGATAGTGGCGGTGGGTGGCTGGGTCGCGCTGGGGGGGGTGCGCGGCGGGGGGTGGTGGCTTTCGGCGCAGCAGCGGCGGCGGTGGTGTGCCTGGTTGGCAATGCCAGAGGCAGCGGCCGCGGCGGCAGCGGTGGCGGTGGCTTTCGCAATGGGGGCGAAGGCAATTCTAAATTTCAGAATTCTTCAGTATGCAAAGCTCTAAAGACATGTAAACGGCCTTACTTGCACAGAATCCTTTCTACAGTGATTTCCCCTGTAATGACAATTGCAATACTAGAACACTTCCCCACAAGCAGGCTGCTCAGGCCCCGCCAGGAATTGAACCCAAGAAGGTCAGATTGTGAGAACACGGATGCCCCATTTCACTACATTAGCATCATTTTACCAGGGAGGGTTGGGCATATTCCGCCTGCTCCATTCCACTGAATTGTGTCATTTCACTACATTACCAGCAGATTCCGAGAAACAGGCTCCCGGCAAATTCCCAGAGTGAAGGCCATGAGGCCCTAAGCGCCCTGGCACCATCGTCCCAGGGCCTCCTCGCAAACCCGCCAAGGCCCTGGCTCTATGGAGGCTACAGGGGCGCAGACGCCCCAATCCCCTCGACAGTTTCCCCTCAGGGCAATCGAACTGCGGGCGCGAAAAAAATGCCCGCAGTTTTCAAGGAGATTAGCTCTGCGGGCCGGAAAAAAAGTGCCCGCGCCCCCCTGCCACCTCTGGGCAATCGAAATGCGGGCAGGAAAAAAACTGCCCGCAGTTTTTCAACGAGATTAGCTCTGCGGGCCGGAAAAAAAAATGCCCGCCCCCCTTCGAAGTGCGGGCAGACAAAAAAATGCCCGCAGTTTTTCAAGGAGATTAGCTCAATGTTTTTTCAACTGAGACCTGCAAGAAGTACTACTGGGATTTGATCCCGCGAAGTGCAGATTCTGTCCTAACGCCTTATCGGTCAGGCCATACAGTCGAGATGATTACATCGCCTCGTCGATATTGTGCATTTTGTGGCCCTGGCCCCTGTGGAGGCGACCCCTGCCTCCACAGAAGGCGCGCCCGCGCGAGCCAGCCCGGGATGGCTGGGGGCAGCGCTGCTGGGGGTACCGCTGCTGCGGGCGCCCCCCGCCTGGGGCTGCGCGAGGGCTCGCAGGCCCACAGCTGCCGCCGCCGCTGCCGCTGCGACCGCCAGTGCATCCACGAATGCGCCATGCCACTGCCACCACCGCTGCCACCGCGAGCACGACCACTGCCGCCGCCACCGCCACTCTGACCAAGGCCCGCCTCCGCTGCCGCTTTTTGCCACTGCAGCGGCCGCCCCTGCTGCTTCCACGACCGCTGTTACTGCTACTACTGATGCCGCGGCTGCCACCCCCGCCACCACTACTAACACTGCCGCCGCTGCTGCTGCGACTACTGCCACTACTACTACCACTGCGACTGCTGCTACTACTACTACCACTGCCACTACGCCGCCACTGCCACCACTACTACTACTACTACCACCGCCGCCACTACTACCACTACTACTTCTACTCCTGCCACTACCACCACTACTACTTCTACCACCACTGCCGCCACTACTACTACTACTACTACTACTACTACTACTACTACAACTACTACTACTACTACTACTACTACCACTCCCGCCACTACTACTACTACTACTACTACTACTACTACTACTACCACTACTACTACTCCTACTACTACTACTACTACTACTACTACTACTACAACTACTACTACTACTACTACTACAACTACTACTACAGCTACTACTAGAACTACTAGCACCACTACCACTACTACTGCTACTACTGCTACTACTTCTAGGCTCACCCAGGGGCCTGCAGCAGGGCTTTCCCGTCTAAGCCTACCGTGGCCTTGCCAGTGGGCCCCCGTGGGCCTGCCCTTTGGCTTGCCCCTTGCCCAGGCCTGCCCCAGGCCCGCCGCCGTCTACCGCGCAGGCGTCCTACTAGTTCTGAGCCCGCACCCCGGCCCCCGTCCGAGGCCTTGCCCCATGTCGCCCCCTGGCTTCTCGGCTTCTGCGCGGGCCCGAGGCCGTGGCCACAACTGCGCAGAGGCCCAGGCTGGGGGCATGCGCGGGCCTTAGACTCCCCCAGAATAAGCGCCCCTCGCGCCCGCGCGTTCGGACTCACTTGACTGCGCCGCCTTGCGTGTCGTCGCGCTGCTGCGAGGCGCCTGTTTTGCGCCTCTGTGTTCGTGATTGCGTTTGATTGCTCTGCATTGCGTAGCATTGCTCGGGGTTGTTGGCATTGCTGTGCACTGCGCAGCCGACTTGGCGATCGCCATCACCATCGCTTTTCCGTGCCCATCTTGGCTCCGGGCTCGCGCGGCGGGGGTCGTCTCCCCGCTCGCGCTCTCGGCGAACTCGCGCGCTGCTATCCTGGGCCTCATGTCTGGGCATCAGTGCGGCCGGGGGAGCCCAGCGGCCTCGGGGGCTTCGCTGGCCTGCCCAGCATGCCAGCGCCCGCTCCGCGCGGTGCGGACCTCTTCCAGGGAGGCCTGCGGCACGTGCCACGAGAGGGCCAGGGGCGGCTGGCTGCAGCACTGCGAGCCCTGCGGGGCGCTGATGTGCCGCGGCTGCGCGGCCGCCGCCGTGGACTTTGCCGCCGCGCCGCCCGGCGCCGCGCCCGCGGCCAGCGACAGCGACAGCCTGCCGCTGCCGCTGGCGGTGCGGGAGGCCGTCGACATGGCCGACGACCCCACGCCACAGGCAACCACGGAGGATGAGGCGGCGGATGGCCTGGAGGGCCGGCCGTCGGCCGTGGACGTGGCGGCGGCGGCCGCCGCCGTGGCAGAGGTCGATCCGATGGCCGACGTCTTCGGCGACTTCAGCCCCGCAGACGACCCGGGCGCGGACGGCCCGGGCGCGGCGCCGAGCGCGGCGGCGCCGAAGGCCACGGCCAAGGCGAAGGCCGAGGCAAAGGCCAGAGCCAGGGCCAAGGCTGGCGCCGCGGCCGCAACCCCGCCGCATCGCCGCCGCCGAGAAGGGCCGAGCCCGCGGGGCCGCCGCCTCCGCCGGGGCCTCGCCGCCGCCGAGAAGGGCCGAGCCCGCGGGGCCATGAGCGGGCGGAGGCCGCTGGAGCGGCCGGCGCGCGCGGGCGTCGCGAGGACGACGTCCTCGAGATCGGGCCGTCCGCTCGCGAGGCGGCGGCGGCGGGGGGGCCGGCGGGCGGCCTCGACGAGGACAGCGGCGACGACGCCCTGGCCGACATTGCTGCCGCGTGGGGCGAGGCCGCCGCCGCCTTGCCCCGCCACAGCGGCCAGGGCGGCTGGAGGGGGGCCCAGAAGCGGCGGGCAGCGCCCGTGGGGGAGGAGGCCGAGGGGCTGGACGAGGGCCAAGGCGAAGTCCACCCCGACGATGCCATCCCCCTGGAGGTGGTCGCGCTGCTCGACAAGCCGGCCGAGGCCGTGCCCGACGAGCACCGGGCGGCGGTGGAGGCCGCCCGCGCGTCCATCGAGCCCCGCCGGCTCATCCGCCCGCACGCGGACAAGGTGCCGTACGGCGGGCCGGCGGCCGAGGGGCGCGTGCGCCATCGCCACCTGGCGCGTTCGGGGCTGCACGCCCGGGCTTTGTGCCTGCAGGTCCTTTCCGACATGGAGGGCCGCGACGTCGTGGAGGTCCTGGAGGACTGC